AATAACTTTGTATTGTAGACGATGTTGAAAACAGTAGCTTGTAAGCAGAAAATCGCTTTAATCGTGATAAGCAAAAGTCCACAGAACTTTTAGCTGATTACAAGTGATAACTATTTACTATGTAAATTATTTATAGTAGAGCTAATTAAACGTTTGATTAAAATTGGTGATGGTTATTTATTGAAAATTAACAATTTTAATTTAGTATAATTGTATAAATAATTTAAATATTTTATTTTCGGCTTATAAAAATTGTTTCTGAATAATAATTTTTAAAGCAAAACAATGTTAAGTTAATTAATATATTGTTTCATACTAATTAGAAATTAAATTTTACCTTAACCCTACAATACATTATGTACCACCTAAATATTATTATTTATTATTTTTTTTTTTTTTGTCTTATTATTCAGTTTTTATTTAACTAAGTATTAAACTATACAACCGTAGAAAATAAGAATATTTGAATAGTATACTTTAATAATAGTTAGTCATCTGTTTTTATAATTTATTTAATTAAAAATAATGTCTTAAAATATCATACTCAAGGTGCTAGTAAATCATTTTTTTCTTTTTTAAAAAAATAATATGTTTCAGAATACGCGACAAAACTTTAATAAGTTGTATTATTATTTCATTAAAATTAATTTAATATTGAACTGTTGAATCTATATAATATCGATTGCGACTTGAACAATTAGTTAGAAGAACAGCAAAAGTTTTAAAATCTATATATACGTATTATGTGTCCCAGATAGATAGTAGTTACCTTTTGCAAGGGTACGTGAGCATTGTTATCAGTGCTTTACACCCATGAAACCTACGTAGGTGATAAACCTTAAAAATCCGTTTAAATTCCAATAACTCGTATTATACAGCCCGTTTCTACTCGTGTCCTCGATTACTCTCGTTGGGTAAATAAATCATTTTTATTATATTTTAATACTCTCAGCACAATATTTTCTAATTCATACCTTCTATTTTGTTATTCCCGGTTTGTGTATAGTTTGAACTGTGAAAGTAATGCTGTACACGCATTACAGACGAGATTCTAATAAATACCGATATCAATTTTATTAATAATTTAAACCAAAATTGTCCGTGTTGATACAGTGGTACCTATTTATATGTATAACGTTGAGTGTCCAAACGTAAGTCATTTGTAGTGATGTTTATTTTCTAACATTAGTAGTGGTTGTGTGTGGTGGAATTTCAACGAATAGCTGATACTTATTTTTTTGCTTTATTGTTCTGTAAAACAATAATGGTAATAATAAAAAAATAAACCGTTTAAAATTCCTATCCGTACTGTTTATCCAACATCAACATTTGTGCAAGTTTTTAGAATATTATAACGTCTTATTAATAGAGAACATCGGTTATCAATTCTTCTTGGTCGATATAGTTCATGGTAATAAGTATTTCCATGCGTCAAATTTGACGTGTGAAAAACTGCCCCAAATTTCACCATTTTTTTTAATAATTTTTATAAATTTATCTCATTTAGCGTAATTTTTTGTTAAGATTTCCTTTTACATTTATATACCATAAATCGACTATTGATCATTCGGAAAATGCATCTGTGAAATACTTAAAACTCGATTTAGTGTAGCCGTAATGGTTTTGGGTAACAGCCTTATATACACAGTTGATGCGTTTTTTCCATAAATTTCTCGTATCGGTAAATGCGGTATAAAATGTTAACTCGAATTCCATACATTGGGTACTGTAATATCAAAAATCAATTTGCTACAATACACGTGTGAAGTCGTAAGGTTAACACGAATATACAGGGGCGTGCCTAGACATTTTTTTTTTGGAGGAAGGCTTCAATATTTTTACTACCACGTATTTCAAATGTATTTATTTCACAAGATATTAATTTTGCTAATGATTAATTTTAGTGTACTAGATACATCGAAAATGGATTATATTTATAAACCTAGTAAATGTTTATGAGTATTAAAATTAAACTGTATAAAAATATTAAGCAATACTTTTTTCTATATTCATTAAAATTTTAGGGGAAGGGAGAATTGAACACTCAACTGTCCTAGGCATGCTCCTGCGTGTGTATATATAGTTTCGTCTTACCCTGGGAGCCTTTGCACCAACCATCTAATTACTTTGATTGCAGAATTTTTTAATCCAACTATCGAACATTTGGTGTTACTTTCGGTGTATGTGGACCATGCAGGGGATTTACCAAATTAATATTGCGAGGTTGTGCAAATTCCATTACCTAGCCCCGACAATATTTTGAATTAGAAAATCATTATGGGACACCAACTAATATCGTCAAACTCACTTGGTGTCATGAAAATAAACGTAGTAGGTAGGTAGTACGTTTTTCGCTCGCTTCGCACACGCGTTAAACCACCGGTGTTGTAAAAAAAACTATTGCGGGGCTCAGACGGATGATTGTGAATTCAACTCAAAAATAATTATTATACGACTCAGAGTGCTGCATACTTTTTTTATCTGGATATTTCAGGGTTTTTTTTTTTTTATAGACAAGAGTACGCGTGTTGTAGTTTATTGATCTATTTTTTTTTTAATTTTGTATTCTGAATATAATTGAGTTAAAATTTCAAATCCTTTAAATATTGTGGATCAAATTTTTTTGAAGAAATACGATAAAAATTGTATAGTATAAATGCAAGTTTGTGTATGTGTACATATTATACAATAATTTATATAATTTATGTTGTAATTGATGTTTCTAAGTTTAAAATTTGAATACGAAAGAGAAAGAGATTAAAAATGAAAGTAATAAAATTAAGAATTTATGTTTTATTACCTCGTATGTATATTATACATTTTGTAAATGCTAATACAACACAGTTGGCTTTACGGGATAGAACTATTGGGATATCGTCGAATCCATGGCCCAGTTCCAAAGTAGTGTCAATGATTGTTATAAAATACACTAACAGATTTATCGAGCAATAAAATCAATATACATACACACATGCACGTATACGTTTGGAATATTTGACCAAAGTTTATATTATAACAGCCATGTCTACGGTTTAAGTAAAACTCAGTTATATTAATATAGATAAAACTATTTTTACGATTCACATTCGATGCGAACATCGTTTGGCTTTGAACTTGAATTCTTGAATTATTTAACTTTGAGTATTCATTGAAAATAATATAAAACTTGATACTCGAGTCATCTGTTACTACAATTGCCACGACTGCGTAATTAAAATATCTCTACAATGTAATATTTTGTGTAAGTCTCGCGATTTATATTTTTAATCAGGGAAAAAAACAGACTACAATAATATTTAAACGGTGTGGAGAAAACTATTTGAAACGGTTTTATTTTAAATAAAGTACGGTAGTACGGATTGGAATAATAAATTAAAGGATCCATTACGTGCGTAAAAAAATCAAACATTATATATATAATGGTTATAGAAACATTGTAGTGAAACAGTTGTTGGGGTAAATGGAATAGTTTATTTTTCGGTCAGAGTCCTCGATGAAAATGGATTTGTAGATTTTGATGTTTCGTGAATATTACAATGTGATCTATGTATAATATACATTTTATATTTTTAGATATTTAGGAATACCCTTTTTTTTTTTTTGCGTTTAATCCACGACCGGGTGGTACCTGCTTGCGCAATGTTTCCGCCCGGATATTAATATATATAGGAGACATTTTATGTTTCCCGATTATTGCGTTAGAGCCTTAATTATATTATATTTGAATATTTTGAACGTTATGCCGTCTACTGTTGAACGATTCCAAAAGCAAAATAGATTGAATAAAACCAGCTGTCACGGAAAGGAAAGATTAACATTGGTTGTCCGGATCCGGAGCCGCGCGGAGTGACAAATACGTATAAGTATACTCGATGATGTGCAGTGTGAACGGCGGATGGGCCGGGCGAATTAAATGATTTCCGGACGGCAATTTATCCAAGAAGATAAGAGGAACGGACGGACAGGAATAATACGATAAGACTGTAAAAGAACAGTGGCGATTTACCGTTGGAAGAGCGGTCGAATCGGAGGACAATAAAAACTGCTGGTGAATCGCAGAAATGGATTATGCAGAACCCTTTTCAATTGGTATAAGAGTCAACAGTGGCATAGAAATCTAAACAATGAATCGCACTCGAGAACAAGTCTCACTAGTATGCAGTAAACGACGCGGAATGTAGCTTTGACCTACCTGCCCGCCTTGCTATGCAAAATTTTAGATTTACTCTTTACGTTTCAAGGCAATAGTTATGTGCCGAGAAAATAAATGAAAACCAATTATTATTATTATTTATTATTATTATTGTTATTTTTTTATTATTATAATTTAATTTTGTTAGTTTTACCCGTATTCTAGACCTTGAATATATTACATCGTGTGTGTTTATACATAGTATACAGTGCGGGACATAAATACTGAAAATAATCCAAAAATCTAAAAATCTAAAAATACCTACTGAATTTATAAAGTATTCTAATTTATCCATAAACTGTAGGTTAAATATTGCAGTAAAACTAATTAAATTCAAGTACTGTTTTAGTGCCTTAGTGTTTGTGGTCGTCATCGTAGACTTATAAAAAAATTGTTTGCAAGTCTTTACTGTACATTTTACATTTTTTATAATATGTATAAATATATAGGTTTTGTGTGAATCGCAGCGACATTATGCGACGATATGTTATGATTAAGAGTGAAATTAGAATAAATATATTAAAAAAAAATAAAAAATAAAACACCAAAAACAACAAAACAACAACAATATCTAATTATAGTAAAATAAATCAACTCGTTCCGTTACGGAAAAGCTGACGTCAAAATAGATATGGATTGGCACTTCGAACGTGCATTTGGACTACATATAGTTACGTTCATTTTTGATATTGTATAATACGTAAAATCGTACGTCCGCCGTTTGTCGGTATGCGATGCTATCACGGGTAGGATGCCGGTCGCAACACCTGTGCACACCGCGAACGGTTCGCGGGCGAAACACGCGACGAACACAGGTCGCATGCCGGCGCGTACGCATGGCACACCGGTGGTGGTGGTCAAATGATAATAATAATAATTATGGTAATAATAATTGCGGTACGAGGGCAGCAGAAAAGATGACGAGAGAGAAAAAAAAAACGAGAAAACGCTTACCCCAACGTGGTCATGGTCACGATGGTGTACCAAAAGGCAGCCGGGATGGACGTGAAATTGGTGCCATCCACGTTCTTCTCGGCGTAGAACATGACCGTGGCGAATATGATGATAGCCATGGCCAGCGAGAACACTAGGAACCCGAGCTCGGAGGCGCACGACTTGAGCGTGTAGCCGAGTATGCGGAGCCCCTGCGAGTGCCGCGAGAACTTGAATATCCGGAACACCCGGAACACGCGGAGCGTGACGAACGCGCCGGACACGTCGTCGTTGTCGGTGATGCCCAGTCCGATGTAGTACGGCAGTATGGCCACCACGTCGATGATACTCATCACGCTGCGCATGAACTTGCACCGGTCCGGGGCGGCGAACAACCGCAGCAGGTACTCGGTGGTGAAGATCATGACGCACGCGGTGTCCAGGCAGAAGAACACGATCTTGTAGCGCTCGCCGCATGGCAGCGTGCCCACGCGGCCGGGCCGGTGGCCGCACGGCACCGTTTCCACCACGTTGGCCATGACGGAGACGGCGATGAAGAACCCGGTGACGTAGTAGAAGACGAGCGCGGCGGTGCTGGTGTGCGGGTTGCCGAACGCGCGCCACATCTTCTGCCGGATGTTGGTCAGCTGCGGCAGGTTCTGGTCGCCGTTCTCCGACAGCTTGTCGTCCATCAGCCGCTCCGCGTTCTCGCGCTTCCGGTCCCGGTAGTCCTCGTAGCAGCAGTCGCCGATCACGTCCGGCAGTATGCCGAAGAACGCCAGCTCCTCGTCGTAACTGGTCAAGCACTCGTGCTTGGGATAGTGCAGCTTACCGGTGCGGTAGTAGTTGAGTATGTGCCGGAATATGTCCGGGTCCCGGTCGAAGAAGTACTCCTTGCAGTCCTCGTCGTAGAAGAATTCGCGCTCGTTGGACCCGAGCAACGTGTCCGGGTACTTTTCCACCGTGTTGCGCCACGTCTCGAACCGTCGCCCCGACACGTTGATCAGCAGCTTCTCATCGTCGATCTTCCGCCGGTCCTTGGGCACCGGCGGCGGCGGCAGCGGGTGCGTGGCGATCGGCACCCAACCGATGGCTGCCGCCCGGGCGAACGGCAGCCAAGCGGCGACCGAGGCCATGCTGTGCGGCGGAATGACAGTATCGCCGGCCGCGCCGCCGGTCCGATTGTTAGCGCGCGAACGGCGGCATGCTCACCGCACCGGTTGCCAGCCGACGACTGCTACGGCTGCTGTCAGGTGGTGCCGTCGGTGACTGTGGAACACAGGTGGTGCTGGTGGTGGTGGTGGTGGTGGTGGTGGTGGTGCAGGTACGGTGTCGCGCCGCTCGCCGCGGTCGGTTACATGTCACGCGGAACGTGAACGGTACACTGTTATCGGCACTGGTACGACTCCGCGTCGACTTTTCCACCGCCAACATGCACGCCGGCGTGTCGCGGTCCCGACCGACTGCCGTGCAAACGCACTTCCACTACCACTACGGCTATCACTACGGCTACCACTACGGCTACTACCACTACTACCTGCTTCTTGCCGCGGTGCACCACCGGA